AAAAAAAAAAACGACAACGACCGATCCCGGAACGCCTGAAACGGAGGCTATACTACACTAAGAGTAACAACTTGGTCCAATCCGCGATCAAACAGCCCTCAGACTGTTCCATTTCGAATACAGGAGGGCCCCGAGGCACAAGGTGTTTTTGACAGTTTTTAATGGCGGACAGATAGAAGCCAGCTGCCTTTCAAAAACATATGTAGCCAAGACTGCCCAAGGCAGAAAGCGAATCAATTCGACTCGATCTGGACAATTTTGCTTGTGGGAATGGGGCCATAGATGACCACTCAAGGGACCAATAAAATCAGGTCGACAGGTGGTCACTATAGAGAGGTGGTCGCCGTAGACAGGGTGCTTTGTCTATGGTAAAATATTCAAAGGACCAGCAAAAAGTCACATTTGACAGGTTGTTCTTATGTAGAGGCCTAGGTTTTAACTTGTACAGGTTTGAGTGTACATCACAGGCATACGCATGTGTCTGGTATTATTGTTTGAAACAGCGTGTGAGCATGTGGTCTGAGCTGTGTGCTTTTATTTTGGTGTCACCACCAGAGCGAAAATATTTTATTCCAACCTAGGGATTTTCTCATAGATTTAATGACGCGTTTAAACGAAGTACTGGTGCTTATAATATTGTACTGTATATGTATATTGTATTGTAGTGTATTGTCAACAACAGTATAAATATTGATCGACGATCCAAACTCTAATACATGTACTAGATAAATTACGGAGATTGCTTCTGGACGTTTTGAGTGACATTCGCCACTTTTCTCCAGTGTCAGTTGTACCCGATATCAGTCTATCTCGCTACAGAAACACAGGATACAGTTGCCTCAGCCTGAACGATTTTCAGTGCACAGTACGGTCTCCTAGCAACACGTATGGGCTGCCTAACACGCTCGGTTTCTTGTTTAAAGGCATCCAAATGCAGTTTTGAGGCGGCAAAACTAGATTTTCAAGTCACATTTCTGGTCATTCTTTTAATGTAAGTTAAATCATTACTATTGCATAGCATACTGATATCTGCGACAAAAAAATGTAATGTTGCCGACGAAAAACGGTTGCTTGTTCTATAGCAGAACGGTTCTACCTATTTTGGTACCAAAAAATAAAGAGACGCCTCACGTAGTCTGTTTATGACATATTTGAAACGCTACAAGTATAAAATGTGGTACGAAAAGGAGTAGATGTCAAATATCAGTCATATTTCCTCATTTAGAATCAAAATGTTTTTTGTGTGTGTGTGTGTTGTCGAAGTAGTTTTTTTTATTCCAACATTTTATGACCAAACATGGCGATTGCACACAAGTTATATCAACTTATTTTATGCCACCAACACAGAGTACAAATACAGGACAGGACAATACTCATTTCCCCTTGAGTTAAGTGAGTTAAGTGAGGAAAGACGAGTAAAGTGCTTTTCCCAGTGCAAGGCCACAAGATCGGTGGCATGTCAGGACTCGAACCGGGGACCTCTTGGTTGCGAGTCGAGCACTCTGCCGCTACGCCACACGTTGTTGTTATTCTGCGGCCCTGGAATTACATTGGATGTCATTGAAGTAAGACGTGAGACAGCTGGTGAGTATTAGCACAGCTCACCAAGGCCATGTTCTATCACGTGACGTAGGTTCGCTGATGTCGTCACAGGGTCTTCGGTTCACCGGTGGAAACGGAACTGCAGTTTCACGCATCTCTCTAGGTGGCGCTGATAAACGGCTAAGCTTGCTTAGTTGGCATAAAGAGTTTAACTTTCCCTTGATTTAGTAGACTAGTAATAAGTAGTAAAATTTTACAAGAAATTTTGTGTTGGCATGACGTAATATGACATCATAAGACGTTATTTAAGTATATATATTTTTCAAACCAGAAAATGAAATGCCAATGAATAAATGACAATTACAAGAATGTGAAAAAGCAATATATGATACAAACATACATCACCATGCTTTATTTCCTCAACAACGGGCACAGCAATATCTGTTGTAATGCAGAATACAGAATACAAACAGAAAAACAGAAAAAAAACAAAATGGTAGATTATGCACTGCAATCCAATAAAACCAATATGAAATATGTCATAACACCATGAAAATATAAACTTTAACAGTATTAAACTAAAAAGGAATTTAACTACATAATGTGATATGTAATTGAAGTAATTTGCCATTGATAGACAAAAGATATGACACACTTACATGCACCCTGCACCAAGTATCCGATAATATTTTCCGGGTAAAGAAAATTTAAACTATATCTAACTATCCATTAACGTGTTAAAGAGACAATGTGTAACATTTTGCACCAAAAACTGAACACCTCAAACTGAAATAATTCAAAACAAATCGCGTGATTGTAATTTTCTTCCACTTTTCAACATATTTGTGCAATTATCTCCCATTTCTGACATTTATGGTTGCCGTGGAAACAGCCCACAAAAGGCGCACCTAGTTTGTGGTGCCACCGCAAACTACCAGGATGTAAACAAACATGGCCGACAGCTGTGTTTTTAACACACTCGTAAGACGTCATATTTTGGTACCTGCTCTTCCTAAAAGACACTTAATTGCACTGGAATAGGGTTGATTCACCTTACTTTGTAAAGAAATGACCAGAAAAATTACTTTTTGTATCGTCGTAATGTTACATAATGCAGCTTTAACAAACCGCATTGTCATTACACGTAGTGCACACGCACATCTACCGCTATATAATTATAGTGACTTGCTAACTTACAAATAAGATTTCACTACTTTGACGTTTTAGGTCCGTTGAGCTGACTAAAAAGGAAATATATACACACGTTCATACGCCGTTTACTTCTTGAGTCGGTGCTATTTTACCCAATCGGAGTAATACATAGAATGAGACCTTAACCATGTAGCAGAAACATGGCTGTCATGATAGGGAGGAGCAGGGCGACAGAGATTGGAGTGACTACCGCTCCTGAACTCACGTCAGGCTGGTAAGACTTACAGACCCCCTGCTGCATGCATTTGAGGATGGCATTGGCCTGGTCAATTCCGGACAGGTACCTGCCAATGACAAAAGCAAACAAGACTGTCATTAAAAAAAACATTGCCATGGCGACGGTGGTTGCTGTAAAGGTTATTGTTTGCATGGCACTGCCATCATTTCATGATTTTGAGAAAGACTTGGTACCTGTTAAGTCTAGACAGATACAATGCACTCTTCCTCTGAGTGTATAGTGAACGAGCCCCGGGGTCACAGAAACTAGGGCCATCCAGGGTAGAGAGGTCTATGTTCTTTATATGCAATCAGAAAATAGCACATAAAAGCTGCCAAAGACCCCGAAGACCCCAAAACCTAGGTTTTGGCATGCTATGGAAGCTACAAACTACCAGAGATTGTAATAAAAACATAGCTGACAGTCTTTTTGTCGGAATGAAATAAGGTCATATACAACATAAACAACTCACCCTCCCTGCACGTAGCCGTTGTACCGCGGATGTGTTGCCTCCCCTCCGAAGTACAGACGTCCCACCGGCGCAGCCAGCTTCTCAAAGTCCCGCGCAGACACGTGGACAGGCCAGTTGGAGTACGCACCGAAGAACAGCGGGTTAGTCAGCCATCTGGGGACAACACGAAACGGTAGAACTTTGAAAGGTAGAGTTAACACAAAAAATGGGATTCACACAGACACACAGACACACACACACACACACACACACACACACACACACACACACACACACACACACACACACACACACACACACACACACACACACACACAGACACACACACACACACACACACACACACACACACACACACACACACACACACACACACACACACACGCACACACACACACACACACACACACACACACACACACACACACACACACACACAAACACACACACCTGGGTACTAAGATGCTCTCCGGCTCGGGGATGTTGTTGCCGTACATGTTCCTGAGGACCGCCATCACCTCCTGTTTGGTCGTCTCGTCAGACTGAAGCTCGACCCGCTGTACTTCAGACGCCGCAGCGGTAACCAGCAAAATGTTGGTGCCTGGTGGGGAATACGTAACGTGTATATGTTTGGGCAATCGCAACATTTTAATTAGAATCAAAATTTTTCGTGTTCTAAGTTAAAGTGCTACAAACAAAGAAATAGTCATGTCTTGCAAGTACCAGAGTTATCAATCAAACAAGGATTCAGATGTGAAAATTAAAACACTTTTTAGAACTATCGTGGAGTGGCGCTCGCTGTCACCAAGTACAGTAGGGGCATTGTCATTAAATAGCTTTAAACAATGTTAATAGTTCGATGTACAAAAGCCTGGTGAAGGTAACAGGCAAACAAACCTACCGTTTGGGAAAAACCCTTCTGCCTCCAGGTTTTGCCACATGGCATACTGGGGCCAGAGAGACCCGGCATACAGGATGTATTCATTGTCGTCCCAAAACTTGCGGGGAAATTTGAGGAAAATCTTGCAGTACTGCCCCATCCTGAACTGGTAGATCTCCTCAACCTTCAGTAGAATTTGGCAGTTAGTATCTTTATTTGTCAACACGCAAAAAAAGTGGGGGGAACAAGAGAAGACAATTGAAGGATTTTCGTACCTATACGTTCACCCTGTTTTCTGTATCTGACGTCGACCTTTTGAGCTGTCGTTCTACTCGTCAGTCTTCCCACCCCACGCTCCGTCTACCAACTCTCAAGTACATCCCATTTTCTGTGTCTGACCCTTTGAGCTGTCGTCCTACTTGTCAGTCTTCCCAAACCACTCCCAAAGTTGCCCCGTTTTCTGTACATGGCCTTCACCTGTTATCCTACCTGCCAGTCTGTCCCACGCACCCTACGAGATTTCAACTTACTCTTAAGTTGCCCCGAGAGCAAGATGGACTAATTGCCATCGAAAATTTAAAGGTTAGTACTCTTACCCTTAAAAAACTTGTCACTGATGAAAGAATTCACTAGTAACTGAATAAAACAAATATATAGTGACGAAAAATGATTCGTTACCTTCCATGGTGGAAGATCAGGTGTGAAGTCGATGACTTCGTTCTCCAGCACGCCGACGCTGACCGTCATCAGCCCGTACTCTCCCCGGTACGTGGAGCCGTCTGCCGCCGTGAGAGTCACGCCTGCGTCCGTCCAGCTCACCGTCTGCACAACTTTGTTTAACTGCAGGCGGCTGTCGTTTGGGGACAAAAACTCCGACAGCCTGGATAAAATGAAAAGGGCACCATCAGGGGTGCCAGAGAATACAGTGCAATTTTACGGAATACAGTTCAATTTTACGGAATACAGTGCAATTTTACGGAAAACAGTGCAATTTTACGAAATACAGTGCAATTTTACGAAATACAGTGCAATTTTACGAAATACAGTGCAATTTTACGAAATACAGTGCAATTTTACGGAATACAGTGCAATTTTACGGAATACAGTGCAATTTTACAAAATACAGTACAATGGTATTAGTATACAGTGCAATCTTACGGAATACAGTGCAATTCTACGGAAGAAACTGAGCAAAAACAATATGTTTTCCTTCGATAAACATAATGATATTGTACCTCTCCACAATATGTCGAAACCCCCGCTGGTCAGTGACGAAGTATTCTTCTTCTGTGAAGTCCTTACTATTCCAACCTGTGTTGTTTACTGACGTCACTTCCGGCGGATCTGCGTATTCAAAATCATAATCAAAATATTCTATGACCTTCTCCAGCGGGGTTTTCACCTTCCATCCTCCCAGCTTCAGGGCGACTCGGATCGACACGTCTGGCAGCCTGAAATTAACAGAATATCAATATGAATTCCGAGACCTCAGGACTCAATGGCATAATAAAATATAGATAAAATAAAATGAATAACAAAATATAAAATCTTACGTAAATACTATTTCTAACCACTTCTGCTTGAGCACTGGCATCTACTATGCAAAAGAAAGAAAGAAAGAAAGAAAGAAAGAAAGAAAGAAAGAAAGAAAGAAAGAAAGAAAGAAGGAAAGAAGAAAAGGAAGGAAAGAAAGAAGGAAGGAAGAAAAGGAAGGAAAGAAAGAATAAAAAAAATCATCATCACTTGTCATCACGAATGTTTTTCCTCCAAGTCTCCAGGTACTCTTGTGCTGTTCCAAACCTCTCCCACACTTCTTCCGCCTCGGCGGTGACGTCACTTCCGGTTTTGTTTCGAACGACGACGTCATCGTAGTCAGATATCTTTTTAACATTTGATATTAAGTAGTACCTTTAGTACTTCATTTTAAAGAATGGCATGGAACAAAAAACAAAACACCAAGAAGCAAACGGAAGAAACACAGCTTTCATAATAACAATTACGGTAACAACTGAGTTAAAGGTAAGTCCCGTATTTGGGGCACTACTATATATATGAATGTTGGTGATTCACTACAGATTCCCAGACGAGTAGTACTAGTGTAAAAATGACACTAATGGATAACCTAATAAAACAAACAAACAAACAAACAAACCTTTCCCGATATGTTGTATCTTTTTGCCAGGTCCCAGATCGGGTTGCTGCCGAGACCTTGCACCCAGTTGGCCCCTATTTCAACTTTTACACCGCCGATTTCCCCCTAAAAGAAATGTAAAACTACATATTATAAAGCAAAGAACAACAGATAGTTTTCTATAACCAACACAACGATTTTCATTTAGCATATAAACAACATTTGGGCTCTTAATACAAGTTAATAAAACACGTCGTCAGCAATGAACTAAACTTTGTCAAGGAATGAACAATCAACCGATTCTGTGATGTCACGTTATGAAGATTGAGATGACACATGTGATGCAGTCTGTGGCACCTCCCGTCTTTTAAAACTTGCTTCAAAATAACCTACCGACTCATATTAACTTCCAAGACAAGAGAACGATATATTTTCTTCTATCTCCGTGTGTCCGTACAATAGACAGGTATTTACACTAGTGGACTGATGGGAAGTTAGTGGGGAAACGGTGTAACCATAGATTGACAGGAAGGTAAAATCGTAGGAAATACGATTTCTTTTTGTCCCCAGTTTCCTGTCAATTCAATGTGACATGAACGATTGACAACTTTATACGGGAAAGGCATTATAGTTTAGACTTGCTTCATTATGGTCAGGTCACATTTCAAAGCCGTTGCCCGGTCGGGCTGTTTGTATGAACGAAAAAGTAACAATTCATATCAAGAATATACAGAAATAGGGCCCACGATATTTATTAACAACTTTTCTGTGTTTTGTTGTCTTTTATATCTTATATTTCGTTCCAACCGATTGCCCGGCAGTGTCCCGGGTTGGGATATGTGACCGCGCCTTTACCTGTCTCATTCTGCCCCCGATTCTGTCGGACCCCTCCAGGATGACGAAATCCTCCACCCCGTTCTCTTGTAGGGTTTTGGCGGCGGCGATGCCCGCGATGCCCGCACCGACAATAACGACCTTCCGCTCCTCGGTCACGCTCTTACAACTGACCGCTGCCATGGCAACCAGCATCAGGACCAGTGTCCCCCTCATGGTGCTGCAATGTCCTGGTATGTAACGATTCTACATTATCATATCGCCGGGAACACGTCGACCAATCAATCAGAAGTCCTCTTTTCAAATTGTTTATGACGCCATAACCTTACCACTGCCGATTAAATCTAATAAACACGTGTACCGTCCCACAGTACATGTACAGTCGGTAGTTGTAGGGAATTTCATTTGCATTAATACATCAGTTGATCATATTCTCTTTCCAAATGACAGTCTTATCTTGGCCGTCGTAGTGTCTTCAAATAAAATACTAGTATCAAAACCGGAATTTCCACTGTAATGCCTTACAAAGACGCCAGGTGGCTCAAACTGTAATTATTTGGAGGCGTACAGGCCCAAGACCTAGCCTTTACACGATTGAATTTTATGTCCTTATGCAAGACCGAAGTAGCCTGGGTACCATCCTGGTTAGTTTACGTCCGCTCCTACAGTCGCT